TCAAATATTTACTTGATAAATTAAATAATGCTGGTTGAGTTTTTGTAAAGAATTAAACATTAACATGTTGAGCTGTGGAACAGTTTTTTGGAAGGCTCTTAACAGGTTTGACATTTAAAGAAACTGACAACACATTTTAAAGTTGTTTTTAATATAAGCTTATTGAGATAAATTGACGGCTATTGTGCGGTCATTTAATGCTAACTGGAAAAGATCTATTGCTGCTATAAACAGAGATATTGTTCGTTCGTTTACCAACTTCAAGAACGGCTCCAACATTTTACAGGTTTAACTTGTAAATAACCGCTTACAAGGGTTTAATTTTCCTTCTTTTATTTTGTTTTTTACACACCTTTTTTTAACAGTACCAGTTGTTTTTGCGTTTCTTTCATCTTCATATAGTTTATAGTTGCATCGCATTTTAGCAAGCTAGCAAATGTATTGTCAAATTTTTAAGTATTGATTATATTTGTATATTATTTGCAGGCAACATTTACACAGTTAGTGCAATATTACCATCGATTCAGTAAGGTGCTTGCTCATGAAGTATTTGCAGAGAGCCCTGTATTGAAAGAGCTGGTTAATATCCACCATATTATGGTTGAAATCAAGAAATACAAGCCGGTTTATTAAATTAATATTTTTTGGGAGCTTAGTTTGTTTTAGTAACTGATTTTTGAGAAATTTTGTTTACGTTTGACATTCTGATGCAACGGTTTAGTGCTTTTTTTTTTCAAAATGCTTTTGTTGTTGTGTGCTGATGTACACCTTGTACAGTTTTATACATACGATTGGTTGTGATTTTATTTTGTTTTTCCCGAATAGAAATCAAAGATCAACATTACAGGTGGAAGCTACCATATTTGCAAGATAGTGATTTTTTCTTTGTTTCTTGCAGATGTCTAAGTGTTTTTTTCTCTTCTTTTTTTTTTTCTAAGGTTCTTATCTGTCATTGAATGAAAGGGTTCTCTTCTCTGACGTTGCTTTTTGATTGGTTGTGTAATTTTTTGTTTTTAATTGGAGGAAAAGGAAAATAAAAAAAGTTGTTTTGGTTGTAACATAAGCAGTTTTATTGCCAAATTTAATCTTAATTGATTTGATTTTTTTACAGTAGACAGTGTTTTACCTTGAAAACTCTTTAAGTTTCTTAGTACTGTAAATGTTGGAGTGAAGTTTTTTTAATAGAGTGATAAGAGGAGCAGGAAGGTTTTAGCATAGTTTTTGGGCCAGAGAAATGGCTTTAGGAAAATTTGTCCACTAAGATCTTTTACTGCTTTAGCCGTTCTTTTGGAAAACATTTCTTGGTGGGGTAAGAAAGATAAAGCCTTGGTCCCTTCATTTTTTGAGGTGAAAAAAACAAAATGTCATTTTGCTGTTTTGTTAAATTTGTGGAGTTTTTGATAATTTTCACGGCGTCTCAAAATTTAATGTTTAGAAGGTAGGGAAAATTTAAAGGTACAGAAATGGAGAGAGAGGGAGAAGAAAAGAAATGTGTGTAAAGAAAACCTGTTACGAGCATTTTTACTGTGTTGTCCATTGGTTTAATTTGAGGACTTCACTTGTATCTTTTTTTTTCTTATTTTATTATTTTTTTCTCAGCTTCCAAATTGGTTTTACAAGCTGTGCTTCTTTAAAATTTATCGGGCAAAAAAAGTGTTATTTTGAATTGCTCTTTGGTGCGCAGTTGGCCGACCATATGCACTACACTTTTTTTTTAGCCTAATATGAGTGTCATCGGCTTAACTTGGAAAATCTTTTTATCATTGGAAAAAGTACACAGCAAATTCTTTTGTCATTTGTGTATTTTAAAACCTGCAATTTGATGGCACTATTTGACTACAATCAGAATCATTGATTAAAATTCTTTGTTGTTGTTTCTTTAAGACAAGCTTTAAAAGCACTCTAAAATACGAGTCTTCGCTAAGTTGGGTAGCTCCTCGTTAATCTGGCACATATTACAATCCTGTTTTGAACAGATATACGCACATAAAAAAACATAAAGTAACATTTTGTGTGCTAAGTGATCCTATTTTTGAAGACCGGTAATATTTGGAAGAAAAGTATTAATATATATA